GGTGGTGGTGGTGGTGGTGGGGGGGGTGGTGGTGGTGGTGGTGGTGGTGGTGGTGGTGGTGGTGGTGGTGGTGGTGGTGGTGGTGGTGGTGGTCGTGGTGGTGGTGGTGGTGGTGGTGGTGGCGGTGGTGGTGGTGGCGGCGGTGGTGGTGGTGGTGCATGCTGGTGGTGCATGGTGGTGGTGCATGGTGGTGCATGGTGGTGGTGGTGATGGTGGTGGTGGTGGTGGTGGTGGTCGTGGTGGTGGTGGTGGCGGTGGTGGTGGTGGCGGTGGTGGTGGTGGCGGCGGTGGTGGTGGTGGTGCATGGTGGTGGTGCATGGTGGTGGTGCATGGTGGTGCATGGTGGTGGTGGTGATGGTGGTGGTGGTGGTGGTGGTGGTGGTGGTGGTGGTGGTGCATGGTGGTGGTGCATGGTGGTGGTGCATGGTGGTGCATGGTGGTGGTGGTGGTGGTGGTGGTGGTGGTGGTGGTGGTGGTGGTGGCGGTGGTGGCGGTGGTGGTGGTGGTGGTGGCGGTGGCGGTGGTGGTGGTGGTGGTGGTGGTGGTGGCGGTGGTGGCGGTGGGGGTGGTGGTGGTGGTGGTGGTTGGAGGGGTGGGTGGGTGACTGGGTGGGGTGGTGTATATTGTTTTTTCCGGGTGTGTGGGTGGTGCTAAGTGCATGGGTGTCACAGTTATGATGGCTTCCAGAGCCAATCCCATGAGATTAGTTTACTAGTGAAAGGATAGTATGATGCATGAATACTAAGCAACCCACCAAGCACACGAATTCAGCTGGATGAATTCGGTGCCCAACCCTCGGCCACCGAATTCAGCTGGATGAATTCGGTGGCCGAGGGTTGGGCACCGAATTCAGCTGGATGAATTTGGCGGCCGAGGGCTGGGCACCGAATTCATCTGGATGAATTCGGTGGCCCAGGGTTGGGCACCCAATTTAGTGGGGTGAATTTGTGCACCCTGTTGTGTTGCTGGCCTAGCCTGTCCCAGGCTTCGGCACACATCGCGAAAAAAACCAACCACATGCCATGCCATGCAGCCCGGAGGCTCACAACTGTGTCGTGTCAAGCCAAGAGCATGCAAGCACAAGCTGGATTTGCTGGAGGTATTCGGGGGCTGTTTGAAGGTTCCGTGTCCATGCACGAACATGCATGTAGCCTGCTGGCTCCCAAGCTCGCACGTGCAAAAGAGCAACACAATCATGCAGCCCAACTGGCTCCGTCTTGTCATGCCAAACAAAACAACAACCAAAACACATGGCTGCAACTGCAACACACTAAATCCAGTCGAGTTTCTGTGGCTCGCCGTAGCCATAGAACATCATGGCCATGCAGGTCTCGCCAGCATCTCCAGGAAACCACTGCCAGAACAGGTCCTGCTTGCAGCGGCTCATTCTCTCCTCGTCGTAGAGGTCAGCAAAGCTATTTGCAGCAGTCGGAGCCGGCGGCGGCTGGGGAACATCAGCAGGTGCAGCTGTCGGCACAGCAGGAGGCACCGGAACATCAGCAGGTGCAGCTGTCGCCACAGCAGGAGGCACCGCAGGAGGTGTCGGTGTCGGCACCGGTGCTGCAGCCATTGCATCTGAAGAGGAGCCGGCCATCCTTAAATAGTATGTAATGTATGATGCATGCATGATGCACACGTATGCAGCATGCATGCGATGCTCACCTGCAAGTTCTGCCTTGAGCAGCTTCCCGGCTGCCTGTGCATACACAAACATGAGTTCCATGCTGCACGCACAGCCACTCACTCAATCAGGCACTCCAACCTGCTGCTCTGCATGCTTCTGGCAAACAACACTGGCGAACAAACTGCACTCAATGTGGGCTGCCTGCACTGTCTGCATGCTGCACTACACTCTTGTATTTTTTGCTCGAAGAGCCATTGCCCTCCACAGCAATCAGGAAGGGCTGCCTGTGGGCCCGGAAGAGGCTCCCCCTATACAGCAGACGTGCAATCGCCCCTGCACTCGACCAGGAAGAAGTTTGCATGCTCTGTATGTATATATATATATATATATATGTGCACATGCAATGCAAGTCTCCTATATATAGTGCATGTTACATGATGCATTTGCATCGAGTAGTGCTGCGCTCAGAAGACCCTGTCGTCCGTGACCCTCTGTACGTGGTTCTCCAGTAGATCCTTGAACTGCTTGTCGCCCGTGCAGAACCTGAGATAATCATTTCGAGGTTTGGTTTGCTGATGTGGGTTCAGGGTTTGGGGTTCAGGGTTAGGGGTTGTGGGTTTAGGGTGTGTGGGTGTGTATCCACGGTTCATTATCCTTTCTAGGGTGTATGTATGTTGCCGGCTCTTGGCTCGGCCAGGTTGCCGGCTATATGGGTTCCATATAGGGAAAACAAGACCTCTATGCGCTTTTATTCCTGCCCTCTAGGTGTATCGGAGACTAAAGACCTAGGTTTATCTAGGAATCCGAATCTGAAGCTTATGGGTTCCTTGCACCGGGAAACACACTGTTATAGGGCTTGGTGGTTTGGGAAGTTGACGTGCTGTTGCTTTGGCTTTTGGGGCTCATGTGCACAACCGGCAACACCATGGTTTCGGAAAGGCACTTGTCCACCAGGTAGTTCAGCCTGTCCTGGTCGTTCATGATCACTGCCTGGGCTGGGCCACTGCATTGCAAGCTGTTTCATACATTTTTGCACGAAACGTGTTCGTGCATATGTAGCTATATAGCTCCCATCAACCAACATGAAGCCTGCATGCATGCTTTCAAGTCGCCTGGGTTTTGTATTCACATGAATGCAACCCATGTACATGCATGTGTTCATATGGCATGAATGCAACCATGCACATGAATGCAACCCATGCATTGTGTTCACATGACATGAATGCAAGCCATGCATGCAACTGTGCACCAAAGCTGCTCCAGCCATGGCCACCGCTTTGGGCTTCCACCCACCATGGTGACTCTGCCAGGAACCCACGAGGCCTCGCGAGCCCTTTGCACCACCTGCTGGAGGACGTGGTGGTGCCGGTGGGGACGGTCCCATAGGCCGTGGTGCCGGCGGAGGGTTCACCTCCGAAAACCCGGGTTTACATATAGGGTTTATGGGGTTTTACAAAAATTGAGAGTTTTGGGTTGATACCAAATGTTTCGATATCATCCTGGCCTCGCCCACTCGCCTCCTCTTGGATGCATCTTGAAGCTCCAGCTGCAGCGACTCATTGTGCAGCTTCACCTGCTGCAGCTCATCCTCCAAGACTTTCTTCTGGAAGAGCAGCTCCTGTATGCACTCTTTCATAAAGGTGCAAGCCCCCTGGCCTCGTACTCGCACGATTCCCGAGCGACCACGATTCCACCATGGCGAAAAGACCGATCCCACTGGTCTTCGCCGTTCACCGCCACCCTCGATGCTGCACACCACTTCCACACCATCCCAACAGCCGGCAACTGACTCATCGGCGATGTGGTCGGCGACGAGGTAGGACCCGGTCTGGTTCGACCAGAACATATACCAGTGAGACCCGGGCTTCTTGAGAATCAAGCCATCATTGACCTCGACGTTCTGCAGCACCCAAGGGCCAACCAGGATGTCGAGGACATTCCTTGGCTGATGCACAGGACCATGCAACATGTCATGCCATGCCATGCATGCATGCATGCAGCCCAACTGGCTCAGCAACAAACAACAAGCAGCCCAACTGGCTCTATATATAGTACATGTGAATATGCATGGGGTGAGCACACGGTGTTCAAGAACATGCAACAAGTAGCCGAACCGGCTCCACAAGAAGTTGCCAATTGAACCACACGTGGCAAGAAGCTTGTTTTGTCCCGTCGACACGAACCCCTGCAGCCGACAGGTTCAAAGCAGGCAATCCTTGCATGCCCTGCTTTTCGGAAAACTATTTCTTCAGCTTGGCAAATTTACCAGTAGCATGATAGCCCCTCCGGCTGGAACAAGCACATGAATCACAATCCTCAGCCAAATACTCTATAAGATTAACCATGTCTGGCTCCTGCAACAACACAGCCGGAGAGGACTTCAGTGAAGACATCATGAAACATGCTTCTTTGCCATTCGGCAAAGTGACAGTTTTGATTGTGCAAGGCAAGACTGCACTAAGCTTTCTTTTCTTGCTGGCCTTCTGTGGCTCCTTGTTGTCGTCGAACAAGTCGGGTCCTGCATCCTGGGTCTGCTTGGGGCTGAACTCTTTGCAGAGCAACTCTAGCAAGGTCTTCAAGTTGGCACTGCCGGCGATGGACATGTTCTTGGTAGCCATAGATGTGCAAGGGCAAACTAGTTTGCAAATTGAACGGTGGCTGCCAATGATCTTCACGAAGTGCTGCTCGCCATCTTGCACAACCAAGTCGGACGGCAAGGTGATCACATGCCCCTTGTGTTTCACCTGAAAAATCTTCTCGATGGAGAACTCGTTGTCAGGCGACTCAGCATCCGACATGGTGCTCTCACAAATCAAGCTTTACTATCTGGCTACTGTCAGCAGAAGATGCTTCATGCAAATTGCAATCAATGCTGGCATGCCATGCTATATGATGTGCACGTGCAATCCATGTCTGCATCCACACAAGTCGCTAAGCAGCCTTCAAACTTTTGTCAAGCATTCTGAAATGCATAGCTCAATCCATGGAGCAAAATTTGCAGTTCAATCCTGCAACCACATGGTGCTTCTATATACAGCTTATAGCTGGTGCCTGTGCATGTTCCTAGCTTGCTTTCCTCTTCTTGGGAGCAGCCTTGGAGGCTTCCTTAGCAAGCAAAGCTTCAGCTGCATGCAACAGGAGTTCCCCCTTTCTGATAGATCTCGAATTGGTGTAGCAAGGGATTGCCAGACCCCCATGCTTAGCATTGGTCAGCTGCATGTTAACGGCCTCAGCATCCATCGATGGCTTCACGTACCAGAACGGTACGAGCACCGACGTAGCAGTGACATTATCCATATCACCGACAGCCTTTGGCGGGCTCAAAGCATATCCCGAGACCTTGTGGCCAGGCTTGCCATCATCTCGTTTCAAATCACCATAAGCGATGAGTTTGAGCTTGCCCTTCGGGATGTTAATCGTGGCACAAAGGCCCGTGGGCGGGCTCACGAAGCTGAAGCCATCGACCTCCGGGAGATTCACGAACGTGTCGTAGAGCAGGATCTGCATTCGCTGCATGTCAATGGCCTCACCAGCAGCCGAGTTGTTCTCCACGAGGTACTTCGACAAAGCCGCCTGGTCCACTACCTGCACAATCGCCTTCTTCGTTTTCTTCCACTGCTTCAGGTCATCGGACAGTGCAATGGCCACTGTCCATGCATCTTGCATTAGGGGCCGATGTTCAAACCTGCACAAACAACATGCAACATCATGTGCATGCTTTCATGCAGTATGCAAGCAGTCCATGCTCAAGCATGCAGTACATCATGCAATTCAAGTTCAAATCAACTACCAAGCTACTTCGCCGACGTGTCGTTCAGCTCCAACAGCTGAAACACCTGGGATCCGTAGTCGCTGTGCTGATATAGGCCTCCGACCTCCAAATGTGGATGCTGCATCATAGCAACGGTTGATGGGCTAGCCTCCAGCAGGTTCGCTACCTTCGAGGGGCTTGCGGTCGGAGCTGCACTGGAACTCGTGCCCTTAGGACCCAAGAGCTCGGTGGCGAGTGCCTGGTTGATCTCCTCCAAGCTATTCCATTCTTTGTTCTCTCGGCCGAACTTTTGCTTCTGGCTGAGGTATAGCACTGTTCGCACACAACAGCGCCCGAAAACGGTGTATCGCTCACCATCCTTCAAGGGTGCATTCTGTGTGGCAACCCATGCATCCTTCAGAAGCCTCTCTGCTTCAAGAAGCTCGGGTTTTGATTTGGATTTGATGCGGTCCAAATCAGCTTTGACCAGTAGCTTCGCAAACTGGTCTTGGACTTTGGGTGAGGCCACCTGTGCAGCCATGCAAGCCACTCTGAAGCATGGGGCCAGGTTGGCCTCAAGCTTAAAGTCAAAATATGTGATCAACTGAGTGAACTCTTGTCCGAGGCGAATGCTCTGGCCGTAAAGCTTGCCTCGCAAGTTCCATGCTGTGCAAACCTATATGCATGCATGCAATCTGCATGTATCGAAAAGTCATATAAACTATATATGGCAAGACAAGCAACTAAAGGACACAAGGAAATCAACCAAAGGCATCTCGTCGCCCCCCGTGTACTTCTGAGCAAAGAATGCCACCGTCTCCAAGTACTCTTTGCAAGCCGGTTCCCCTTGCATCGTCGCTGCAGTGGCTTCTGCAACCGTCTTGCCCAACTTCAAGCAATTGCTGATCGTGGCAAGGCACTCGATCTCTGTCGAAGCCACACACACCGAGTTGTTGCTATTGAGCACAGACGAGTACAGCAACGGGAGACTCGGGAATTGGTCTTCCAAGGTATCAGCAAGAATCAGCCAAGTCCATCCTTGGCTCAGGCACCTTTCGACGGGCTGACCCTTTTTCATGAACGAAGAAGCATTCTTCACAAGGCCCTGCTTCATGGATTTCAAATAGCACGTGGAGTGAGATGAGCCAACCGTGAGAAACAATTCGTCGCCAACCACTTCGGGCATCACCCCTTTGGCTTGGGAACAGCATTTCCGATTTGCTGCAAGTTGCTTGTCACGTTTCACTGCATTGCTGGACATGCAGAATGCTACTGCACTTGTTTCGAGCAAATCAATCCGCAGGCCTTGGCTCATCATCGTCTCCCCCTTTGTCACCATATCAAAGCTATTCATCATGGCACCTCCCCGATTTTGGGGATGTATGCAAAACCTCTCTGGTCCATGGACTTGCTTGGAGGCGAGCCCGTTGCTCAGCCACAAATCATTAAGCTCCAACACCTTGAGGTTCACTGCCGCATCCGATGCCATGATACGGTCAGCTTCTGCAATGACTGCCGGGGTCAATGCCATGGTAGGCCGCAAGTGTATATACGGCTTGCTATCTGAACTGCTTTCCAACCAAACACTGCATGCACCATTCATATCTAAGCAGCACATCATATATGCATGCAGCCCGTGGACTCCATGCATGCAGCCAACATAGCTCTCATGCAGATGCAAGACATGCAGCCCACATGGGCTCGAACATCAATCTTATGTATAGCCTTGCAAGCTAAAAGAACAATCAAGCAATCATGCAGCCAACATGGCTCTCATGTATATGCAAGTCGTGCAGCCCGCATGGGCTCGAATATCAATCTCATGTAGCCCATGTAGGCTAAAGAACAATCAAGCAACCATGCAGCCCAAATGGCCCGCATGTATCATGCCAACCATGCAGCCCACAGGCTACAAAGCAAAGATGCAAGCAACCGAAACATACCATGTCATGCAACATGCAGCCAGATGTCGGCTAATGCAACCGCACAATATGCAACCGTGACCCCACAAATCTATCAGTTCACACAGGAAAAAAAGGGAACAGCAAGGAAATAATTGCAATTCCTGAAACCACAAAACAACAAAAACAAAGCAGCAAGATAGTGTTTTCCGATATAGGTTTTCCAAGTTAAAGGGGTTAGGAAAATTACAATAACCGTTTATGTAAATAGATAGTCAGAGTTGCAATTATTGAAAATTTAAACATAATTAGCGACTTTGCTAGAACCCCTGAGGGGGATACGTTTTTTGTTAGCACTTAAGTATGTGTTATATGCACATTAGATATGGGATACATGTGGTTTAGTAAGCCATGCAACCATTAAGCAACACCCCAAACATTCAAGTGAGGGCGCTGAGGGCGCTGAGGGCGCGGAGGGCGCGGAGGGCGCGGAGCGCGCTGGCGCTGAGGGCGCTGAGGGCGCTGAGGGCGCTGCTGAGGCGCGGAGCGAGCGCACTGAGGGCGGCGGAGGGCGCTGACTGCGCTGAGAGCACTGAGGGCGCGGAGGGCGCTGTGCGGAGCGAGCGCGCTGAGGTCGGAGGGCGTGGAGAGCGCGCGGAGGGCGCTGAGGGCGCGGAGCGAGCGCCCTGAGGGCGTGGAGGGCGCGGAGAGCGCGGAGCACACAATGATCGAGGGCGCTGAAGGCGCGGAGGGCGCGGAGAGCGCGGAGGGGGCTGAGGGCGCTGAGGGCGCTGAGGGCGCGGAGGACGCGCGGAGGGCGGCGCGGAGCGAGCTCGTGAGGGGCGCGCGAGGCGAGGAGGGCGCTGAGGGGCGCGGAGGGGCGCTGAGGGCGCTGAGGGATGAGGGCGGAGGGCGCAGGAGGGTGCTGAGGGCGCGCGGAGGGCGCGGAGGGAGGGCGCTGAGGCGCTGAGGGCGTGAGGGCGCTGAGGGCGATAGGGCGTTGAGGGCGCTGAGGGCGCGGGAGGGCGCTGAGGGCGCTGAGGCGCGGAGCGAGCGCACTGAGGGCGCGGAGGGCGCTGACTGCGCTGAGAGCACTGAGACCGCGGAGGGCGCTGAGGGCGCGCAGGCGCGGAGCGAGCGCGCTGAGGTCGGAGGGCGTGGAGAGCGCGCGGAGGGCGCTGAGGGCGCTGAGGGCGCGGAGCGAGCGCGCTGAGGGCGCGGAGAGCGCGGAGCACACACTGAGCTGAAGGCGCGGAGGGCGTGGAGAGCGCGGAGGGGGCTGAGGGCGCTGAGGGCCCAGAGAACCCAATAGACCTTAATTAAGAGTTCAGCCTTTAATTAACTTAATGAGCGCTTAAAAGCACCCTTAATTAGAGACTATAGTGCTTAATTAAAGACTATAATCCTTAATTAAAGAAGAAAACCATTCTTAATTAAGGTAGTAATCCTTAATTAACGACAATACGCCTTAATTAAAGAAGACAACTTTCATCCTTAATTAAGGAAGATTCGACGTGAGGTGCGGCATGGCAAGTTGCATGTTAAGTTCATGAACTGCGGGCATCTTGTTTAAGGAAACAGGTGTAGGGAGGACTTGAATATTTTATGCCCTTCGTTAAGTATGAAAAATTCACATGCGGCATTCTGTTTAGGGAGCATGTGTTCGGTGTCGTGGGAATATATCAATGTACATGTAGTATGCCATACAGATATCGATCCATGCACATGCATGCAGTCATGCATCCTACTATATGATATATGTATATATATATGCAAATGCATGACTCATCGATATCGGCTTCAGATTGCATAGAAACTCCACATGCGGCATTCTGTTTAAGGAGCATGCATGTCATGGTATTATAAAATCAAAACCATGCATGCCATGTATATATGTATCATCATGATTATAAATGCATGCATGTACATATATATTGAAGCCTTGCATTTGCAGCACCGTAGATTTCAAGGAGGGCACTCAGCCCATCCTTTGAAAAGACACCTGCAGGTGTCTCGCCCAGGAGGAATAGTCCCTCCTCATGCATGATCATGCCAGCATTATCATGTAGGAATCGTGCATGCATGCATGGAAAAAGAACAATGCATATGTGTTGTGCATATATGATATCGAAATCATGCATGCCTAGAAAAAGCTAGCTTAAAAAAACAGCAGCTGCAAAACCAACTTTGTTCTTCGACTTCGCATCATGCGTCGCAGTGCATTGCATGCCATGCATGCATCGTGCCTGAACTGTCGATAAGACACGATGCATGCTCACCTCTGGCATGCAAGCTCGCTTTTGAAATCTGGACATCATGTGCTGGAGCCGCCATGCACGGCGGCCTTCCATGAATATATAACTATATTCGAGCCAACATGCATGCAGAGTTTCGACATTCAAGCTGCAGGCTTGCAAAGGCCATGCCTGCATGCATTCGCATGCATGCATGAAGCTTTCGATCTCTCATTTTTTCTGCACGGGCGATAGGCATATCAAAGCACAGGCACTTTATGCCCCGAGGTGAAACGAGAAAAGAAAGCATTGGCCAAGGCATTCGGGGTGTTGGCTCCTCCTTTGCTGGCTGCAAGAATAGCCATCTTCCCGCCCCAATCCTCATCTCGGTATGACCAGTGCACACTGGGGCAATCCCGGCCTCGATAGCTGATTTCGCAAAAGAGATGCAGTTTAGGAGTCACCTTGAAGAGGCAGACTCCTTGCACCGTGAAGTGCTCATGCAGAGCGACATAGAGATTTGCGAATGCAACTCCATGCTCGGCCAAAACAGCAGCATCGAACGTTCTGCTACTCAGTTGCTCATAGCATTTGTTGAAATGCCAGGCACACTTGTACATGGTCTGTTCCACCTCATTGCCAGCATCCCTAAGAGCATCAGCCATCTGTGCAGCCCAAGGCACCAGGCATCGCGATTCCCCAGCTTTTGCTCTAAGCTTGGGGAACTTCTTCTTAGGATCCTTGATCATTGAAGGCTTTAGATGATCCAACCTATATTCCACGGCCTGGACATCATAGAACTCCAAAATGCAGCGGAACATTTCTCGAACCTGCTCGTCAAACGTCCCTTCAAACTTCGAGCAGAAGTACTTCATTATGGATCCCAGGAACTGCAAAGCAATTCCTATGTCCACCACATGCAACCAATCCATTTGGATGCACTCAGTTCCAACATACGGTGCTGCGAAAATGGGACTGATGCTAGGAGCAGCCATGAGTGCCTGCCACGGAGTCTTCCTGTGCTCTGGCTGCATCCAAGCAGCTTCACCTGAAACCTCTCGGATATCTTCAGGCTTAATGTCGCACATCCAACAACAACCAGAGGCTTCGTTCCTGCCGGGCTACAAAAGGGAATAATTACTAAATAAGTACATGTATGCAGGTACAAAGTCAAAGCATACTAAATGCAGCCAAGACACCATGCCGGCATATACAGCACCTGCTTGAAAAAAGCCCAGTCGCCTCGTATTTCCAGCAAAACACTTCGAGGCGTATGGATCAATGCCCTTTGTTTTCTCCATGGTTCCTTAAGCGGCTGCAGACCTGTGTGATCGTACTTTGGCATTTGACCAGAAGTTGCACATGTCAAAGACCACCGAAGCACATCCATGACAGCATCCCATGTAGATCCCCCACGGGCTAGCCAATGTTTCTGAATGACGAAAACTGGAATTCGCATTGTGCTGCGAAGCTGACATGTGAGGATGTTGAAGCTGAGCATCTCCAAGCTCTGGTTTCTGTTTCGGGTCATGGGAACACCATCGCCCCAAATCCCGAGCCCGGTGAGGCTTTCACGATCGATCCCCATGTCAGCTGCAGCCCGAGCATGCCTTTGAAGCTCAGACTCCTGGAGATGGGCTAGATCTGTTAAGCCACCACCCTCAGGGGACTTTTCGTTCATGACATACAAAACCTCGTGGGGCAGCATGCATGTCAAAGTAGCTGTTTGTTGTCGTTGATTCTCTTTGTCCCAAACCGGAGCTTGAAACTTGTATGTAGGAGGCCAGTGACTGTTTTTGGATAGGTGCCTCCTAATATCCCTGGGTCGAGCGAGGCCATCTTGCCTCCTTTCACCGATCTCGGCCAATCTCCTTAAGGAGGAGACACCAGAGTCGCGAGCATCCCGAGCCAAATCGGAAGTTTCCTCTGCACTCAAAGTGTTTGAAAGAAACAAGTTCTCCACTCGAGACCTGAGGCGACGATCGGCGCTTTCGCCTTTCTCTGGTCTCTTCTTGCCTGGTAACATGTATACATGGCACGAGAACAACAACCGACACCTACAGTTGTAAATCGCTGAAGCATTTGCCAAGAGCCGACGATGCTGCATGCATGCATGCATGCATGCATGGACACAAGCACATCCACATACATGCAAAGGGTCGGAGTCATGCATAGCAGGCATGTTCGAACATGCAAACACATGACTCATGTGCCAGCTGATTGCATTTTGCGGCTGCAGGGCGATCCGGGCATCATTCAAAAACCTGGAGCTGTGGAACTCTAGGCGGAGACCTCCTCAAAACTTGTTCGGGGTTGCAAATCCAAACGGCTGACCTATAAGGTTTAGGGTATATATAGATACCTTAATAATACGTATGCGTGTGTATATATGTATTATATGTAACCTATAGCTAATCTAGCCCTGATCTAGCTTGTATGTAGTTTTAATCTAATAGTAAAGCTACAATGTTAACTATATATATATATATGTATATTTATACATAATGTATAATTATAATGCATATATACACTAAAGTGCATACAAGTTAAGATATGTCGGTATACCAGATTTATGTATACATATATACACAACATATTATACATAGATCTGTTATATGCATGATACTTAGTTATAACTCATAATTTCTGCGATATGCTTTTATTATACGGTATAATACAGAATAGAAATATGTATGTATATATATATATATACATATATGTATGCATATTTATAACTATATATATTAATATATTAAGCTTTTGTATGTGTAATATATATATATATATATATATATATACAATACATATATATATATATAGATATAAATGATTCATGTAACCTACACCCAAAACCCTAAACCTTCCAACTCTAATCAAAACCTTTCTATAAATCTTCCCGAAACGTGTACACAGGAGGTCCCCTCTGGCAGATGGCACATGGCTAGCGAAGGTTCTTCGCCTTAGTCATGGCCCTCTTAAAGGCATCCAGATGTGTGTCGGCGATATCGATTTCTGCCTTTAGCTCAGCCACCACTTCCTTGGTAACATCAGGAGGTTGGACCTCCTCGGCAGTTGCGATCCGCTGCCTCAGGGTAGCGAGGTAGTTGTCGAAGGTGTCAATCGCATTGGCCAGATCGGTCGTGTCGTAGCCGCCGCCGGTGGCAAGCTTCTGGCACAAGTCCTTGCCTGTGTTGAGCTCCTTCTGGATCTTCTGCTTGCCGCTCTTCAGCACTTTCACGCTCGAGACCAACTCCACATGCAAGGGGAACTCGATCTTCACCTTGGCGGCGGGGTCGGCGGTGCTTGTGTCCTTGTCGTTCAAGAAGGAGTCCGCCTTCTTCTTGCCGAGATCTCCTGCTGCGGAGATACCGGACTTGGAGCTGAAGGAGGTCTTCTCGGTTGTCATGGCATTCTTCTCATAGAAGAATCGCTTTTCACCGGCCTCCTTGAAAACCTTTTCTCTGGGCACCGCTTCGTTCCAATCGTAGTCGAACTTGAGACCGTCCAACAACTTCTGCAAGAGCGGGCTGTCGACCGGAAGGTTCTCTTTGGCGGCAATCTCCCATTGTGTCACAAATCCCGAAGCCTTTTCATCCTCCGTTTTCGTTTCGGTGGAGATCTCCCGAATCTTCTGCATGTAGTTGTTGCATGTCTTGTCTGCCAAGAAGGCAGCCAACATTTGCGCCTTTTCTGGATCATTGCGATCCAAGCTCACATAGCGATCGAAAATTCGGCCTTGTTCTTGAGGTTTTCCAGCTCGCCGTCGCTGACCTGAATCGTGCCGTTCTGCACTCCCTGGAGCTTGGTCTTGGCATTCTTGAGGGTAGTGACCAAGTTGCTTTGATCTTTTTTCTTAGCAGCCTTCTCCATCTCCTGCTTCTTGAGCTCCTTGGCAGTGGCTTTGGGTGCTGCCTTGGGACCGTTCTTCGCCTTGGCCATGGCCTTCTTGGCAGCTGGCTTTCCCATGAGTGACGGCCTGGTGTCACGACGGCTGGGGATAGCTGGCTTGATGAACAAAGCTGAGGCAAAGGAGCAGAACATATGCATGCTTGTAGGCAACAACAGCACCCTAGCTGCGGCCATTCATTTTCCTGGATCATAGCCAAGTCAGAGACACGTTGTCACCTCAGGGGCACGGATAAGTTAAAGAGGAGTTAAAATTTAACTCCAATTTAACTTGCATTTAACTCCCGGTTAGTTGCCTGGTACTTATATATGGAGTTAAATCCAAGTTAAATCAGAGTTAAATTTTAACTAGTGTTTAACTTCTTGGTCTGTGGAAGCCCTCCTTGATCAGGAGGGTTTCCTGGAACAGATCATACCAGGAGGCATTCCTTAGCCAGGGGTTGCCTCCTCCAGGAAAAAAGCACAGCCCAGCAAACAACACCACAGCAACAGCCACCTCGACGACATAGTCCGTGAAGTCGGGCCTCGGTGCCACAGGCATGCAACACACGAGGCCGGCAACAGTGCACCACACCTGCAGGAGCAGGAGCTTACTTGGCAACAACAGCCTCCATGTTGTAGTCCCTGGAGAATGCACACCTGCAGCGGCTCCGAGGTGTCGTGCTGTGCGGCACGGTGGTTTGGGGCTTAAGGGTTGGAATGGTTTTGGGTTTTAGGGGTTTGGTGCTTTAGGGGTTTAGGGGTTGAGGGGTTTTAGGGTTGAGGGGTTCTAGGGTTTTAGGGTTTTAAGGCTTAAGGTTCTAGAGTTTCAGGGCTTTGGGCGTCTAGGGTTTTAGATCTTTGGGTGGTTTAGATTAAATCTATTCACACCATGCACACCAGGAGGGATCGCCTCCTGAAACCCCAAGGAGGCACTCCTGCTGAAGAGGAGTGTCTCCTGAACAGACACAAACACAGCCAAGGCAGCGGCACCACGACCAAGGCCAGCCTGGATGGTATAGTCCCCAGAGCCAGCCTCAGCGACACAGACCACAAACTTCAGTGCGGGGCCGGCCCCACATCGTCCCCGCAGTTCGGCATGTAGATATACCTGCACGAGGAGCATACACTAGCACCCAGCCCATGCATGATAAGCCCGGGTGCCTCGGCTTCGTCGGCACTGTCTGGGTCCTGCGAGGAAGTGACTTCTTGAGAATGCATGAACTGCTATATATATATATATATATATGCATGCATGCAGGCATGCAAGCACAAACAACCGAGGCTTCAAAGCACACCTCAACTCTTTTCCAAGCGAAGATGCATCTTCAGGCGACCAGGATCGGTCCTTAAACCACGTGGATCGGCGGCGGCAATCCTGCCGATCCTGCTGAATCCACTGTGCGGCCCGGATCATCGTGGTGGTCATCGTCGGGGCCGTCCTTCTTGCCCAGGGGCTGGTGGTCTGGATCCACAAAAGGAGGGGCCTTGCCTTCCTCCGCATCTTCCTTATTCTCCTCATCGTCGCCCTGATAGTCGCCGCCGAACTTGCCGGCCTTTCTTTCCAGGTGCTTTTGCCACCAGATTTTCCGCTTTTGCCCGCGGTTTTTCTTTGCTTTGTGCACTCCGTGGTTGAGCACCGAAGCCTCCACTTTCTTTCCACCCCAGTTCTTCGCCACGTTCAAGTCCACGTCTGGCCGCGACCAAGCCAACTTAGCTAGCATCTTGTCCATGGAACAAAAGCAACGAACTTAAGGAGGCAGCCCCCGAAAGGCGGGCCTCCTATCTTCAAATTAGATCTCATGGTTTAGGGGCTTAGGGGTTTGTGATTGGTGGTTTAAAGGTTGATTTATAAGGGCTGCAGGGTTTAGTAGTCGAAGGTTTAGAAAAACAATAATGCAGCCAAGGCACGGAGCACCATTCGTTCAGGCAGATGCCCTCCCTGAAGTAGCTCTGCTGCTTGCAGCGGTTGCACCACCTGAGATACTGCTCAGTTTCCGCTGGAGGCGGGGGAGGCGGAAACGGTACCGGAGGAGCACCATGGGGGGCAGCTCCTGGAGTCGTGCTAGCTCCGGCTGCTGCATCCGACCCACTGGGGGGCACATGCACGTGAACCCCTGGGGCAACAGCTCCGGTGAGTGCGGAGAGTTGCTCTGCTCCCAGCTGTAGCTGGATCACGATGGGGGCTGGGGTGTTATTGGTGTTGCCAGAGCTCGCCGGGTTGTTGTTACCCGTTGTCGACTGGGCGGCACCCATGCTTGTTCGCACAAGAAGATATTGGATCGAACTTCTTTTGTCGCTCGAGCCGCGATCTCAGGAGGCTCGCATGCTGTGCTCATGCCTTCCTATTCAAAGGAGACACGAACATTCAAGCACTGCCACTCCTGCATGCCTAGCTCTTCGAAAACATGCAGATGCAAACATTAAGCACTGGCAGTCCTCGTGCATGCCATGCAGATAAACCTCGAAGATCATCTCGATGGGCCCCATCACCTGCAAGGAGTTTCATGCGACAAAAATTTTTAAAGGTCGATGCATGCATAGCTAAGAAGAAAACAGCAAGCCGGGCCTGAGGGCAAGGTTGGACACATGAAAAGGGCTGCAGGACAAATTTCTATGTATATATATATATATATATATATATAGCTACATATTATGTATATATGCTTAACTCGTGCCAGAAATCATGCAAGGAGCCTCGCAAAGCATTCCTCTGCATGCCAAAATTGCCAACATGCACATGCACATGTACACAAAAAAACACACACAGACATGCAAACACGTGCACACACACACACACACTTGTTTCAAACCGATGGCAAGATCAACCTCAAAACCTGCCCAAAGCTGCATCGATCTCCGCAAAACCGGGCTGGGCCCTGGCATCCCTCGATCAAGCTATCACTCAGCCTGCCGCTGGAGGACCTCCTCACGGCGGTTCCGCATCAGCTCACGAAGCTCACCCCAGGGGGTAGTCGAATGAAGCCGCTCAGCCTCGAGGAAAAGCTCCTTGACCAGATCCCGATGCTTGTCGGACTTCCTTGAGTGGATCTCGATGAGCAAGGCCTTGGTTGGACCGAACTTGCCGGTGATGTAAGTGCGATCGGAAGCCATGATGTAGTGGACGGAGGCACACATGAGACTGTCCCTGTTCGGACTGCCAGCCTGGGTAGCTGCGGCCTTCGGGGATGGATTCGCTGCGGACTTCGGGGATGGCTTCGGCGAGGACTTGGACTTCGGAGTCGCTGGCTTCTTGGGCGGGGGTGTGGACAGCTCAGGCTCCTCGGGCTCTTCGGGCTCCTCGGCCTCGCCATCTGCAGATGCAGACCCGGCAGAAGCAGGAGCCTTCTTAGCAGGAGCCTTCTTAGCCGTTTTCTTAGCGGCTGGCCGCTTCATGATCTTGGAGATGCCACCACGGCCTGCTGCATTCTCGAAGGTCTGCAGGAACAAGTTGGGCACATCCAGGTCCTTGAGCTTGCCGAAGACCTTGGTCTTGAGAAATCCTTCAGGTCCTTTGAACACAGCATGCCGCTTTTCTGTGCCGTCCGCCATCCGAGTGATGTACTTGCAGGAGGCCTTGCAAAAGTACTGCAATGTGATCCACGAGGATCCGGAAGCCTCCTCTGCGGGTGCGGTCTCGAGATCCTCCGCAGGCTGGCCATCGGAGCTGTGAATTGTATTGCAGCTAGCGATCGAGATTGCGGGCGATGCAGGAGCCGTCTTCGACAAGGCTTCCTCAGCACCACGGGAGATACCGTACATGGCATAGATGTCTGCAGACGTGGATGCCGAAGTCGAAGTCGTGCCTGTCTTGCTTGGCCTAGGATCTCGAGACGACTGAGACTTGTGCCTCTTGCCAGGACTGGCCTTCGCCTTTATATTCGCACACCCTTTCCACATGTGCATGCCGCCCGCAGACCTGTCTGGGCTATGCACTCTCTTGCGAAGCGAACTCAGGCGATCCTGCTGAAGCTCATCTGCATCTAGCTTCTGCAAGCACTCGCAGACCCGCTTGATAGCCGGGTGAGTCTTCTTGCCAGACGTCACGGCTTTCATTTTGATGCGAACATAGCTCAGCGAATACGCAACTTGGCGGGCGAACATATCAACGTCCGCCGGGGATTCTTTTTCAAAGACCTTTGCCGCACAACGGCTGAGCTGCTTCGCTACCAGCCTTGGTGAGACCTTGAGAAAATCGACTATGAAGGATTCATAGCCTGCCACGATCAGCTCCATGTCCGTCTCTTTGTGAGTGAGTGAGCGAGCGACTAGCTGCACGAGGTGGTGCGCGCAGCAGCCATGCCTAAGGCGCCGTTCCCTCCCGGCTTCACAGGGGGCTCCGCAAGCGTCATTGCCCCCTCCACTTGGAGTTCCCGCTGGCGAACGCCCCAACCCCAGAAACAACGTTATGAGGTCAGCAAAGACGGCCCAGTTTGGCAAGAGGGCATGCCAACAATCGCACGAAGTAGCAACTAGGCAGGCCCGCCACCGGCAAGCCGGCATAAGGGCAAGACAGCGTGCCATCCTCGCGGATACCCGTGGGATCAGGCTCTTCCCTTGAAGGTCCCCCTCCGAGGTACTAGGCCACGCAAACAACGTCCCTCTGCGTCGGGCTGAGCGCAGCCGCGAGCCAAATGGCAAGCACGCTTCTCTACAGATCCCTCTGCAGATACTAAGTGCGAATCGCGGCCCGTGTGCTCCCGGAACCCACTCACTCCCCACCGCTTTCCTGTAACAAAGGTGAAATGGCAAGAGCTTCGCCACCCACCTGCAATCAGGTCCCGTACCAGTGTACCCTCTGAGTGGTGGGTGAAGGCCAAACTCCGGCCAGCACCCCTCCGGAAGAGGGCGGTCCGTCTCTTTGTAAGCCGTGCCCAGGTTGCTGAGGTTGCTCCTGAGAATCTTCTTTACCTGCTCATCGGTGGCGGTGTTCCGAGCCCGGGGCTTGCTAGCGCTGGCGGTTGGCTTCGACATCATGACTAGTCCTCCTGAAGGAAAAGGAGGATCGATTGATCGATCGAGTTATACAAGCAGCTTGCTTGAGCCGAAAAAGCTAGGTTAAAGCATGCTCAAACAAACGAAACAAAAAAATTGCAGGCGTGCAACAAAACATATATATACCCAGTTCAAGCATGCACTCGCGATCTTGCACCTTCGTTTTGCTTCCATGGTTGCAAGTTCGATCCCTTCAGGATCGACCTGCTGCACATATTCAAGAGTCCGTGGGTGTAGCTCGCTGGCCCCCATGCATGGAAAACCAAATTATCTAGGTTGCACCGGTGTTGCAGGCTCAATCACGGGGATGCCTCCACCATATCCAGTACCAAATCCTTGCATTAAATCGATCGCAAACAATAAAACATGTTTCAACACGTGCATGTCGATTAAAACCGTCTGCATGAAAGTCGCTGCGTCTCTCCGAGCCAAAAGTTTTTCCAACACCATCGCCATTCCAAGCGAACAGGCCGTGGCGATCTCGATCTTGAGCGATCCTGTATACATGCAAGTCGCAGAATAATAGCGAACTTCCAGCAGAGCAATGCAGCACTATCTCCTCTGCAACCATGATTGCAAGGGCAAAAGAAACTCTGTCCGGTGGTCTTCTTGTGACCTTTCCGTAGACGTGCCCGGAGCTTGAGCCGAAAAAAAAAAAGACAACACATGTGTCGAACGTGCATTCAAGTCCGTCTCATGCAGTGCATGCATCCCAAAACATGGCAACAAAAATTTTGCAATGCATGCATGATGCATGTGTGGACATGCGTATATATAGGAGAGCATACAATAACTCTCCTGTGTGCATGCATGCATGCATGTGCAAAAAGAAAAAAATATGTATATGTGTATATAAAAGATATATAGAAATAATGAACCTTAATTAAGGAAGGTAACAGACCTTAATTAAGGCCTATGAATTTAAGGACTATAGACTCTAATTAAAGATGAATGTTTAAAGGCGCTTTCCTGAATGGACTATTGGGTTCTCTGGGGGCGCTGAGGGCGCGGAGGGCGCTGAGGCGCGGAGCGAGCGCGCTGAGGGCGCTGAGGCGCGGAGCGAGCTCGCTGCCCTGAGTCTGCTGTTTACCTAATTTTACACTTTGGCTTGATTTACTGTAAACGAAGGATTTAGTGTAAAATGACCAAATTTACGTAAATTTTCTGGTGAGCTAAAAACATGACAAAACACATAAAAACATTATGCAAACACAAACATGGAACTCATATTTGCGGCTGCAAACTTAGACACCACATGTAAAGGATTTAAAAAAATCACCGGCATGAGTTTGTTTTGCTCTGCAATCGCAGACACCACATGTAAAGGATCCACAGCAGAAGTAAGGACTTTTCCGAAAATTCGCAGGCCCAAAGCCATAAACTAACCAAAGAGAATCCATGCAGATTGCTTATAAGATCCACACCAGTATATACGACAACTGTGATTCAAAAGCCCAAACAAAAGACCAGGAGCACCACATATAGCAGAGAGACACTCTTTTTTTTCGCGACAGAAAAGAAAGAAGCTCTCACGATCGCCCAACTTTGCCCCGCAGAAACAAAAGGTGCCTCTCTTTGAGGGCAGCCTTTTTGGAAGCATGCCAGTGCTTCACCCCTGCCAAACAACTCTTCCATAGAATCTGCAGGCGATGCATCGTCGTCTCTCCCTTGTAGCACCAGACCATCGACGGATGAATAAAACTGCTGAGTAGGAGACTATGCAAAACGAAGTGGGTCTTACTTGTGAGATTGAAGAGCTTCTCCCCCGTCCCTTTGTAGTGGGCTTGCAGGCTGCTGTGGAGCTGTGCCATTTGGCAACCGAGCTTGAAAGCCAGGTTTGCTTGCTCCTCAGGTAAAGCCAAGAAGCCGTACCGTGGCCCATAAGCTTCCAATATTTCAGCCAGCTGCAGGTTCAACCGCAAAAAGAGCCGGATTTGCTTGTGTTGATAGATACCCTCGTCCATTTGCTCTTCGAATAGAGCAAGAATTGCACTGTCCAAAGATTGAATATCGGAAGCTCTTCCTCTCATCTTGGGGAATCCTTTTTTTGGTTGTATCATTGTAAGTTTCAGAAGTCGCTGGCGGAATGTGTATCTGGTTTCGTTGTCTCGCTGGTACTTCTTGATGAAGGAGTCGCAGTATTTCAAATTCGCCAAGATACTCCCACCCAAACAATCGTGGACCACGATGCTGAGCACGGAGCCATAAAAAAACTGTATCCACCCCAAAAACATACAATGCATATAGTCCATCGTGATACAAAGTCCCGAAAAGCCAGGTAAAGAATACAGCTGGCATGATGGATTCCAGTGGGATCTCCAGTTGGTGGTGGTGAGGCACGAGGCTTGCCACGGCGAATTTGCACGATTGTCCATCCATGTTAGTGGTCCTTTGAAGGCGGCCCGACAAAGAGCACAAGGTTTGCTGTGATTGCTCCATCGTGGAACCTCCAGCCATTTCGCATAATAATCCAAGTCGCCAGCCATTTGAACCAGGACACCATAATATCCTCCGCATAGGTCGGTTCCCGCTCGTTCGCCCTCCTTTGTACTGGCCCCATACCTCTGTGCCGTGTAACAAACATTTTCTTACTTGTGAGACAGGTTCATATATATCTACATATATATATCTACATGTGGTGAGAGGGTTTTTTACGTATACTGTGTGGTGATTTTTCTCACATCCGGTTCGTGCTGCTTTGGGATTCCACGGGTCCGTGGTTTTGTGGCTTATATATGTTTATACGATATTATATACTGTGTATATATATATATATATATCATCACCATCAAGGAAGCTGTTGGGTTAGGGTTGGATTTGAGAACAGGGCTCTCATACATAGGGTGTGTATGTATATAGTCACATATCTAAAACAGGACCCACATCATAAAAAATCAAGAAAGACAAAAAGGCTTACAGCTTATAGGGTTCCCACAGGGTCCTAAAATGTAAGGGTTTCCAGATTTCTGGCACATGTGTACATATACAACAACACACCAGGCTGCTTCTTGCCTTGCCAATCCCGAGCAGGCCATTTACCGGTGTAAAGAATGTTGAAAGACCAATACATCACTTGCCAAAAAGTTTCCATTGTCCCAGCCCCCTCGCCGCCAGCCGGAATAATGAACTTCTCAAAAACGCCCCAAATGTAGAGGTTGCAATCGGCAGCAGATCGGCCGGCCGCTGTGGCCATCAGCGATACCCATGAAAAAGCCAAAACACTGCGAGCCCATATCTTGCCCACTCCAAAAACAGGAACTTCGTCGCCGTGTATGCAAAGGGGAATAGCCCTTTGCATCCAATTAGCTCGCGATTTTACCGCATGATTTGACATGCAAGGGTGTCCATTGAACGATCTCCAAAACCGAGGCAAAGCCTCCGCATCAGGCAACACAGAAGTAATCCATCCAGTCGTCGTCTTCCAAAGGTGGTGCATAATCTCGTGCGGAAGCAATATCATGGAAGTCGCCGTGCCTTCGACTTGTCCTGCTAAGGGGATATTAAATTCTGTCGGCATCGGAAGATTGGACTGCTGGGCCAAGTGGTTGTCAATAGAAGATTGCAAATTTTTTCCATGCTTCACCTTGCTGAGCCTGTCCAAATCAGGAAGAATTTTCCCGTCCCTTGCATTTCTAATATCGGCAGCCGCTGCAACTGCAATTGCATGAATCATAGAGGCCGACAGGAGGCCTTGTGCCAAATACGTCATCAGCAAATCGTGCAAAGAACTTGAGGTGGACTTCTCACTCACCGCCTGGCCCAATCTCTGTTGGACCCCACCCTTTCGTCGCTTTCGCTCGGGCCCTGCATCCTCCATGGTACCTTCTCTCCATATATAAATAAACAGAACAGCACCTTTATGCAAAGTTGGTGTTTGTTGCCAGCTGAACTTTTGTGCCTTATTTCATACAGTGGTTTGTTCGCTATAGCCATAAAACATTTTATAAGGACGGGACACACATGGTCAGACACACCGAGCATTGAGGCTGAGGCTTGTGAGCAAGTTATACATATATGTGTGGGCACCAAATATACTATACAAACAACAACAGAAAGCTTTTGCCCCAACCCCGCAAAACCCAAACCCCCTAAACCACACGGTCCACTGCCCCTCAATCTGGACGAAACAAATCTTGTGAGGGTTTATATATAAGGTTCAGGATTTAAGGGTTTATAGAGGGTTCAGGGTTTGGGGTTACGAAGGTTGTGTTGTGAGCTTCACAGGGTTTTGGAGGTATGGACTTTCATGGTTGATTCAATGCTTGAGGTTCGGAGGTATAGCTTTACACATGTGTGCACTCACACATGCAAAGCAGGCTACAACAACACCATCGGTGTTATATATACTCTAAAATTGAAGCTGAAAGTCACGAAGACCAACACCCCAACATGATTCAAAAGGTTATAGTTATACACGTCGTTGCTCACATGTAAAAATCACCAGAAAAGCGCCAAATCTCAAGCTCTCATCATCGCCGTTGCTTTTTTCTCTCATCGCCAAAACTCAGAATCGCCGTTTGCACCACATAGAGGCGACAGCTCCGGAACTGCACACATTCAAAATCTGTCTAGCATCCTTTTTTGGCTCGGACAGTCAACTTGGCTTTCACGGCTGCCATTTGTTCTTCGAGATGAGTTGCTACTCGCCCGGACTCTCTCATGGTCTTGGAATATGATGAGATCGTGATCGGCCCGTCCTCATTCTCATCCTCGTACTCGTGCCACGAGAGAAGGTGCTCAAGTCCCTGCTTCGATTTTGTTGCTTGTTGGACGATGCTCTTCCTTACAGCTGTGGGGTCTCACACAGGTTTCGGTGTTCGGGCACTGGGTTTACTTGCGAGAGAAAGCACAACACTTTGGTTACATGCGACTGTTGTTGAAGAGACTACTTTTACGAGTTAAAGTTTGTGCTTTACTTGCGAAGACAAAGGTTGAAGCCTCCATGTATTTACTTACGAGTTAAATTGGTGACTTTACTTGCG